GAAAACTTACTGTACATGAATAGGTCTACAGCCTAATGAAGGAAAAAAACATTTATTTTATATGACTAATGTTTATTTTCTCACTGGATTTGTTCAACTCTACAGTGAGACTACCTTAAGGAAGGTGGATATTCCACCAGGAATTATTATCAGTGGGTGCAATCTTAACAATATAAGATATACCAATGTCACTGTGTTGATGGCAGATACAGAAAGAAAAGTATAGCATCTCCGAAACAAGGTAGTAAATGGAAGTAAGAAGAAAATACTAATATTCAACAGTAAGAAGACAGTATGGTTGTCAGCAAGAGAAAAAATACAAGACATGAACTATGAACTGGAAATGCCAACATCAAGCAAGAAGAGAATTTTAATTATCTGAAAAGTGTTTTAAAAAGAGGATGGAAAATGCAGCACTGAAATCTGAACATATGTTGGATTAGTGAAATATGCCTTTCAAAAAACAAGCAAAGTACTAAGAAACTGGAAAATTTTGTGGGACACAAAGAAAAGAATGCTGAACAGTTTTGAAATATCCATCTTCTTCTATGGAAGTGATTGCTGGACAATCTCTTCAGAGATAAAGAAAAAACTGAAGACAACAAAATCTGGTTCTACAGAAGGTTACTGAGAATACCATGGATGAAGCCAAAAAGAACTCTTAAGTAAAATTGAAACAGAAAGGATACTTATACTCAGAATTAAAAAGAGGCAGCTGAACTTTCTTGGGTGCATAATTAAGAAAGAGAGCTTGGAGAATTTTACACTCACAGAGCATATCAAGTGCAAGAGGGACAGGTAAAGGCAGCTTACCTGATCAGCTTGTGTAAATAGATAGTGGAACTGTTAGCAGGAGGCTTGGCAAAAAAACAGATATTTCTAAGGGTTACAAGGGATAAAATGTTGTGGAGAACAATGATCACCCATGTACTGACAGGGCATAGCACATAGAAGAAGAATGTTTATTTTCTAAACAATCATCTTTCTTGTCACTGCACTTAGTCATGAATATTTATTGCATAGACCAAATAATATATAGTTCCAGTCAAAATTCAACAAATAACTACATGACTGGTTACAGATTTATTGATACACCTTTATATACATGCACACATGCACAATTCTAGTCACCTGAAGATCATGAGAGCATGAAACTTGAGTAGTGACTCAATTCATTGAGTGTTGACATTGTGAAGCATTTTTATGCTTTTTCTAGATAGTCTAGGCATTGAACACTTTAATTTGCCACATCGATAGGTATTTGCCTTTTGGTCTTTTTTTCATTTTCTTTTTTCTTTCCTTGCTCTTAATTTTTTTCTTGTCTAAGTCTTTTAGCAATTTATCTGTTGGCTATGCTAAATTTGCTTTTAGATTTTTTAGGATATATATATATATACATATATATATTCACAGAGACCAACATGTCTCTTTGGTATTCTCCTAATAAGGTAGATGAAAACTTCAAATATCAATTAGGAAATAAATGACAGCAATTAAATTATGTAACTAAAATAATTAGCAATGTCTGTTCCTGATATTATAATATTAAAAGTGAAACAAAAAATATAGTACAAAAAGTACAAAATGCATGATATTTTTAAAGTGTACAATACTTTCTTTGAAGAAACAAATATAGAACAACTAATTTGACAGAGAATGTGGTCTGCAAAGCCAGACATATTGTGCATGATGGGAAATATGTTTAATCCTTCAGACAGCATTCCAAAACACAGCAGACATCTGAAGAACATCAAATAAGTGGACATGGCCAAAAGGTTGTGAAAAACAACAAAGATAAGAAAATTAGTCTAAACAAAACCATATTAGTAAAAAAGGATCTGTAATTTTATCAGTCCTGATCTGGCAACTTGACTTCAGTCACTTTCCCATCACTGTCATATGGCTTGCCACTGTCTTTTCTATAAATATTTTCAAGGCAATTGTTCTGATGAGTCCTTCTGCTTGGCACCTCAACCAAATGAATTGAAGCATACTATTAGATTTGGAAACTAAGTTTCATCCTTTTACTGTTGAAATAACTACATGTAACTATAATTTCTATTGTAATAGTTTCTTTTCTTGCACTTTTGTCTATGGAACTCTCTTCCAGTTTCTTGCTTCTCTGCCACAGACAATCTTCAATAATTTAAATGCAATGTCAACTACCATCTTCTGTTTTCCTGAATCATGTTTTTTTTATTATTCTTTCTTCTCACTATCGCCATCTCGTCCTCTTTCACTGTCAGTAACTCCTGACATCCTAGTAGCATTATCACTTTGCTGGGAGTGAAATTCTTAAAAAAAGAAAAATTTGACAGAGGTTGATTCATGACAGAAAATTTGTTTCTCCAAGAATAGAATTTTAACTTAGAAATGCAGACTTATAAAAACTGTTAAGATTTTTAAAAATAAAAATTAACAAAATATCTGAACACAACTATACTCTCTGGCATTGAAGTTTCCTCATTGTAGAAATGTCAAGAGGCTTTGAACAATTTTAAGTGAATGACTCTAACTTTAAACTCAGTCTCATCTCACATTCTATTTCAGTGGATGCACAGATATATATCTACTGAAAGCAGATAGTAATTACTGTATTGTAACCATAAACCTCTGATAATTTTATTTTTATATATTACATATTTATAAACTGTAGATTTATACCATGACAGCATTCTAGATTTTACAAATAATTGATTGAGTATATATATATATATATATATATATATATATATATATATGAAAAATTTCTCAGAGTTAACCTGTAGAAAAAGACAATATTTATAAATGTAAAAGACAATAGGAAAGTTGTTCCAGTTGCTAAGAACATTTTGTTTAGTTATTATTAGTTACTTTTTTGAATAAATTCATTTCGTTTTTGCCTTGAAAAAGTTCACATTGGGCAAAATGCGTTGGCTAATATTATGGTTTTCTTATTGTCTTTTACACTTATAAATATATATATATATATATATATATATATATATATATATATATATGTAATGATCCATTGATATGTAATCCAAGTGAATCGTATTAATATAATATAAAATATTAAAACTGATTCACATAGAGTGCTCAATGTTTTATTTAAATAGAGCATATAAATTACATACAATTGGAATTAAGAATACATATTGGTTATGATCATGTCACCCTGCAAATTAAGATAATTTGCAAGGATTTTCAAACAGGTCATGTTAACAAGAGAAATAAAATGAAAATGGCTTAAAACAAATTTTAAAAAGCCAGATAGAGGCAAAGGAAGAAAGAAATCCAGAAGAAAGATAGAAACAAGATAGGTAGAGTAAGAAGTGAGAAACAAGAAGGTAGAGAGAGTAGTATTGTCTCAACATGGGGATTAGTGGGAGGAGATATAAAATGTGGTCATGACCAGAATTATATTAGAATATTAACCTCATTGTAATCTGTAAAAAATTTGTTGAGAAATAGGGGAAAATATTTTTAAATCTTATATTAACAAATTACTATTAATCCAATATTAAGAGAAATAATTATATATTTATATTAAATAGAGATAATTCTAGAATTAATGATATATTAAAATATTAGAAAAATAATAAAAAAAATTTTTTAAAAGATATTAAAAAATATATATTGATTTAATTATTTTATTTTTAGGAAATATATAATATTTTTCATTTAAAACAACATATATTAAACTATTAGCAACTACAAGGAAATAAAAATTCATAGAATATTTTTTATTTTATATAAAAACCAACACTAGAGGAAGATCAAATGAAAAGGAAAAATCTACACTTCCAATTAAAAAATTAAGGGTATAAAGTAGTGCATATTCAGGTAACATATTAAAAGAAAAATATAAAATCAATTTAGTAAGTAATAAGTGCCAACTCATGACTAAACCAAAGAGGGCATAAAAGGAAAAAGGAGACATAATAATTAAATCTAAATAATTTCTATAATTATTATATAAATTATATTATCATTGCTACATAACAATATTATATATTATATAAAATATATATATATATATATATATATATATATATATAATTAATAACTATATCTCTTTCTCTTATATATTGTTTCTATCTATATAATGATAGTATTATATAATAATATAGTATCCTGATTATATATTATTTAATTATTTGTATAATAATAATATTATTTAATAATGGGATATTAATAATATAATAATAATGTTATTTGTTGTAGTTATTTAATATTTAATAATAGTATTAGTTAATATAGTACTTTTTATTTAATAGTATTATTTAATAATATATTGATATGTTTAATGATGTAATATTATTTAATATAATGATATGTGGTATTGATGTTAATATATTAGTATATAATATATTGATGTGCGATATATTGATATGCAATATATTGTTTAATATAATGATATATCATTTAATAATTTAATAATAATGTTATTTACTAATGATATAATAATTCATATAATAATTATATATATTATTTATATTTAATTATCATATCTCGTTTTCCTTTATATTGTTTCTTTTATTTAATTATCTGTACTTATTGCTTATTAAATTATATTTTATATATTCCTATATTTAATAACTCGATTATAATATTTTTTTTTTGCTAAGTAGATGTTTCTTCTCATTCACTCTTCCTCAAATACTGTTTTTTTAATATAAAATAAAAAATCTACTCTGATTTTTTTTTTTTTTATTTCCTTATATATAATAATAGTTTTATTAATAGATATTAATACATGTTCTTTTGAATATAAAATGAAGAATATTAAATAATACATTTCTTAAAAAGTAAAAAATTAAAACAATATATTTTTTAATATATAAATAATTTTGAAATAAAGTTTTTTTATGTATATTTTCTTTCTAATATAAATATATAATTATATTTCTTAATACTGAAGTAAAAGTGATTTTGCTAATATAAGGTAAAAAAATTTCTTTTGTCTATTTTCCTGATATAAACTAAGGTGAATATTCTTATGTCAAGGTCACATCTACATGTATCTGCCTCCTGCTACCATTCCTCTGTCTAGACGTTTATACCCTTTCTTTACCTCCTTCTTTCTCTCTATCTTCCTCTTTCTTTTTTGTTTTTTCACTATTTCTTTTATGCTTTCTTTTTTCTGTTCTTCTGCCTTTCTTTTTCTCTGCCTTGTTTTAAAATTTGCTTTAGGCCTGACTAATTAAATGACAAAATGGATAAAAACTCCCATGTAATGAATTTCACCCCAAATGTTAGTCAGAAGAAGTTTCTTCTTGGAACAATATGTATTATGTAGGAGTTTTTACTGTTTTGTTATTCTATTAATGACACACACACACACATATATATATATATATATATATATATATATAACTGCTCTAATAACCATTCATTTTACAATGTTGCTTTACTTTTGAGTTCAAATAACAACTTGTTTCAACCTTCTTAAACTTAAAGGCAAATTTCTATTGCTTCACTTCTCCCTTTTACAGAAAACATTCCCATGTCAAAGCTGAGAGACATGCTGAATACCTGAAACCTAATCAATTCTGCTTTAAGTATTTATTCCTGGGAGCAGTACTGATTATAAAGAAACTATTGAATTATATTTATTTCTTCATCTTTTATATGAAAGCTCATTTCATTTATACTCAGTTTCAAGTACGTATCTTTTTTAGAATGTGAAACATTCTACATCATCTTGCACAATCTGTAATGAGTTCAGTTTAGAATTCTCTGTAGGTTACCTGGATTGACATACACCTGATAAAGGCTACAGGGTGAAACAACCAAAATGTTGTGATAGCAACAGCAAAGATGATAATAGTTCACATGTAATTCATGTAAATAATGATAACTCTCATCCCAGACATTCAGACAATCATGTTTTCTTATGAAGCTTAAACAAATCTGAAAATAGATAAGCCAAGAGTTAAAGTTGCAAATAATGACATTTTCTGTCTAAGTAAAATATATTAATTCCATGTTCTGATCTTAAATTGCAAAAATGTTTCCACAGATTCTGCAATTATTTATTAATATAGAAAAGAAACACAACAATGTTCATGTTTCTACTTATGTTCATTCAGATAAAATAACCTAATAACTCAAAGATAGATTCATAGTTTCAATTTTTATTGCTTGATTTGATTTTTTATAGCTTATCAACATTTTGCAAGTTATTTAAAGATGAAACATATTTTGGATTGTAAGAATAATTCTTTTTTACTTAGAATGAATATTGCATTGACAATTTTTTAACCACTAGCTGAGGGGAGGAGGTGGATTCATACCTTTCCCAACAGTATTTGTATTCTCCAATTTCTCATTATTACACAACCATACATCCATTATGCAGTGTGCCCAGGTGTAAATACTTGTAAGGTGATGTATATTCTGTACATAAAAAAAACTGAGTCCAAAACCTTTCATATATATGTAGTATGTATCCCACCTCAAATCAAGCAGAATAGATTTTGCACTTCATAGAAGCCAGGTACAAAGTTGACCTGGCTTAACCACCTAGCTAGGGGTGGAGTTCATCAATTTATCCAATGTTAGTAGCAACCCTAACAGGTAAACATGTGTCAGTTCAGCTGCATCTGAGTGGTAAGCATCAAAAAGAACTGTATAACAAGTAAACATATAAACACCCACCAGAGAGAGGAGATGGAATTTCTCTCAGATATTGCACATTGGAATGTGAGATCCACGTTAGGCTTCATATACACACTGGCTAACATTAATTGGTGAAGTCCAAAGTTGAATAAAATGTAATATTACTTATGAGAGTCTCAGTCCCATGTTTACTTCATTAGTCTGCAAAAGATTAGATTTCATTGCATATACATCATACAAGCTAAATTCAGTATCAGATTCAATAAATAAGAATAAAATGAAAACTGGAACTAAATAAACATTAAATTAATCTTACTACTTATTACCCAAATATTCTTAGATTCTTAACATTATTTGAACATCTTCTATGCCCCATAACCTCAGGGGTGGGTGATAATGACTCTCCTCAACTTCCTATCTCTTGTATTTATTAATAACATTTGTCTTTTCACCAACCACTCACACAAACTATTCAGATAGGTGGCCCACTGCCTTCCCCTGACCCTTTTTGCCTTTGATATATCTTCTGAGCGTAATATTCTCCTAGTCCTGTGTATGATGATAAACTATACCTGATAGCAAGGTCTCTGATTGAGAGATTGGAGGATTTTGAGGATTGTGGAACCACCTCTTAATTGCTGCTGTTCCTAGGTCTACACTGACTCAGGATGATAGTACCTGTTAGGGTTTCAGCTTTGGGCAAATTGTAAATCTCCAAAAAAAAGAAAAAAGCGTACTATGTAAGTATAAAAATACATTTTTTATAGTAAAAACACCAGCAATATATTTTTATATATAAAAAAATTACACACATTACATATAGTAAAATTAACAACACTATATATTTGTAGCAAAAACACCAGCAATATATTTTATAGCAGAATTTCCAACAATGCATTTTATCTGTAGTTGGAAGTATACACTTGTGTTCAAAATGTATTTAGTTGAAGGCATACAATTGTGTTGAAATATTTAGATTTTGGCATTAAATAATCCATAGACATGTTGATATGTCACTAAACAAAATCAACCAACTTACCAACATGAAAAATCCATATAATGTCCTATAATTTTTAAAAAATTTAAAGTGTATTCCAAAATATAACCTCAACAAAACTACAACATAAAACACACATATCACTGTTTCTACCAAATATGTCCACACAAACATGTGTATGCATAACAAGTGAGTAACATCTACTATGTATTTATTGAAGAAATAGATTAGTACTTTGCTGTATTATAAACTCTCCAGTACCCAAATGTTAAAACAGCAGTTATATGTAGCAAGCTGAAATGTTCTATTCTGCCACTTAGGCAATCTCATTTTCTGTGTCCTGGTTGGCTGTTAGTTCTAGTGCAGATATTGGGATAAATAAATATACATCATTCACCATTATGTTTGCTTGAGTATAGAGCTGTGTTGAATTACAATTCACTCACTCCTGTTTGCCAACTGGACGCTAGTTTGAAACCTTCCTGCGAAGGTGAATATCGCATTGATTCTACAATTGTGAAAGCAGATTAACATATTTGTATTACTTCAAATCTCCCAAGAAAATTAAATTTTGGCATTAAATGACCCATAAAAAGTTGATGTGTTGTTAAACAAGTCAATCAATCAAATTCTCCACCACCACCCCCAACTTCCTCATTATTTGTCTTGAAAATTTCAGTTGTCTTTTTCTGACCAAATGTAAGTCACTTTTTTTATTTTTCTTAAGACTTCTTCATTGTTTACATGCTCTCTCCATGGAATTCACAGCATCCTTCTGTAGAACCACATTTCTGTTGCCTTCAGTTTTTCTTCATCTGTGAGAAGATTTTCCAGCATCGACTGCCATATAGGAGGATTAATATTACATAGAACAATCATAACAATAAACAATACAAATATTAGTTTAAAATAATGAATATAAACAATAAAAGTGGGGAGGATGCTGCACAAGTCCCTTTGTATAAAAGTCAATCCTGAAAGCAGCTATAAAATCAATCACAAACAAGATTTAAGCCACTCCTGGACCTTAACATTTCTACTCCATTGCACCCTTTGTGTGCATATAATGCCTTTAGGATATTCAACCATAGAGGCAACATACCTAAATCAGTAAATCAACTAATTCTACTTGAAGCTGGCAACTGAATGTAAATTCACTTCTGTAATTCAAGGTGATTAGAATAAAATAGGGAAGATTTAAGATAACATCTCTCATACATCTGTAGCAAAATATAAAACATGGAACATGACCTTTCCAGTGATCCTGCAATTAATCTCATTGCTGACAAACAGTTTATATTGATTTTCCCTTGTCAGTGATTACCAGGAATGCAACGTAACAATTTCTGATCTTTTGTTTATCTTCTCTATAAACGTTAGACTGAGTCAGAATCAATTTTCTTCTTTTTATATTGTACACAGTGAAAAGAGTGTACAACCCTCAAATAACAGTAATCCAAGCTGGCAAGAGTTATCTTTCCCTTTTAAAAGTTAGAGCATTCAGTTGGAAGTAATAAAATATCAAACAACTGGAACATCTGTCCTTCTTCTACCAGACACCTTTTATCAAAGAAAAGGTATTTTTCTTACAGAATCAATCTATACTGCCTTAGAATTATCTTTAAAAACACAGACCAGTACAATAAATACTTAAACACAAGCAGATCAATAAGTCCATAATATGACAGAACTATGAGTATAAGGTGAATTTTGATGTGAAATTTTCTTTGTATAATCTGTGATTATAGTAATCACGGAATTATTCGAAGAAGATTAAATTGAAAAAAAATATTTTCTATGTAAAATAAATATTTTTAAGTCATTCTTCTTCTATGTGCCACATCCCTTCTGGACAGACATAGGCGATCATGGCTCTCAACAACTTCCTGTCTGATATAGCTTGTAACAACTTTTCTCTCTTTGCTAAGGTTCCTGACTCCTGTACTGCCATCCATTTACACAAGCTTGTCAGGTAAGTAACTTGCTGCCTTCCTCTATCTCTCTTGTCCTCAATATGTCCTATGAGTGTTAATTTTTCCAAGCCTTCCTTCCTCATTGTTTTCAAGGAGTTTTCAGCTGTCTTTTCCTGATTCTGAGTATAAGTGTTCTTTCTGTTGCCATTTTATTTAAGACTTCTTTGTTGCTTACTCATTCTGTCCATGAAATCTTAAGTATCCTTCTGTAGAACGACATTTCTGCTGGCTTTAGTATTCACTTCTCATATAAGAGGATGAATAACACATAGCAATCCAGCACTCTTTTTCTTTGTTTGTAAACAATTTATGTAGCTAGATAATTTTGTTTCCTTTCAAAATGTAAAAGTGAGTTAAACTTTAGTTGCAGATGTCAATCAAGGAGTGAAAGGAAGTGAGGAATGGAAAGAATAAGAGTACTACTAAATTGAGACATGAGTAATTTCTGTATCTGAGAATCACCTGTAATATTTTGAATAATCAAGGTAATAAATAAAAATGAAAATTATTTATACCCCAACCTAGTAAGTCATAGGGATTTTAACCTCTTTCACATGTATCTTTGTGGGTGTTTGTTATATAC